CCCGATAATGCACGTAACAATTTCACTCTTTTACCGCATCTTTTTTCTATGTATTCAATATGTTGTCTGTATGTCAATCTTGAATCAAATATGACTCCCAGGTATTTGCAGTCCTTCTCAAATTTGAGACTAGATCCTTCTATTTTCAATATTGTATGCGGTAGTTTTCTTCGTCTCGTGAAAAGAATGGCTTTTGATTTTGTTTCAATTATTTTGCATTTCTGGATTCCAATAATTCCAATTTATTTGTCAATTCATCAAATTTTCCTTCCATTGCGACTGTATTGGGCTAATTTAACTAGGATGGACGACTGAGTTAACTTATTTTATATGATGACTCATGTAATGGGTCTTGAGTTAAATAGAATTCACTAAAGTCAGCTATCTTTCTCGTATCGACGTGATTTAAGCGTAGCAGTGACGATATTTTGGATGAGGTTACGTGACGCAAACTAGGAATACGCCTACTTGACTGATGGTTCATTTAACGTGAGTTAGTTTGGGATGACATGTCGTTATCAACAAGGACTAAGGTGCTTCTGAACCACCAATTCGGACGACGAGATCTCAGACTCGCAAGAAATTTTTTGAACCATTTGGGAAGGTCTCAAATTTTTCTGGTCGATTGTACGTTTGTAGGCTCGGCGTTGTGGCGCATCGTGCTAATGGCACCGATATTTACCCTGCGTGGTTTCACAGGTTAGAATCCCGTGAAGATAATTATGTGCGAGAGAATTGCCGGACTCCTCGCCGTCGTAGGGGTGCTTCCCGTGGCCACTGTTCGGTCACGGCTTTTTTATTGACTTAAGGCCCCTATCCTTATCTGGGTGAAGATTCAAACTTATTTTAACTGACAATACTTTTACAATACAACTCTCAATCAGTATCAGTGATAGTATAAAAATTACAACAGTAATTGCCCCATATGTCAGTAGCACACACTTCGAAACTTAACGGTAACTTGACGCCAACAAACAGGCTTAATATTTTTGCTTACATTTTATGTATCGTTTATTTTTTTTTGTCTTTGTACATATCACCTCCTTTCCGTGGCGGCGCGTGGTCATTTTGACAACCGGGCAAGCTACTGCGGGACCAAGTCACACCCATCTACTGGGACAGGATGAGCGCTGTAAGTTCTCCCATCATTTTATGAGTATATATAAAAACCATTCCATCGGTAACAACCAATCGGCAAAAGCGACAATTTTTAACGATAAGAAAGTGTCTTTAAAACCGGTCCAAGTCAAGGGATTAATAAATATAGACATAGTTTATTTTGAAACCTCTTTCAAAAGGAAAGGCAATATTTACCCAGATAAATACAATGACATATTAACAGGAACTTCGGGAAAGCAGACAAAACCTAAAATAAGGTTTAAAACGTTACTATGAAGAAAGGAAAGTTAATGCAAAGATAAGGACATGCGTCGCTCACTCATAGATATATATGCTGCTAGACTTCTACTGCTTGAACATATATGCAACACGCCACGGTTTCTTGGAAGCAAAATGCTCAATAACGCGCTGATTAAAGTCATGCATCCCAGAAATAACGTCTCTGTGAATGGATAAAACAGCCAAGGAATTTAATCTATCTTGCTTCATTGTGTTTCTGAGATACGTTTTAATACGCTTCAGCGTGCTGAATGTTCGCTCTGCGTCGGCGGAAGAAATAGGCGTCGTCAAAATGATGTCCAGAAATTTTGCAGACGCCGCAAAGGTAGTTACTAGAGTGTTATCTATGAGGAACCCATAGAGCGCGCAAGTTGATGTGATGTTCAAAAAAGTTTGATTGGTGTATATACATCGCAATTCATTTTCCAATTTACCCACGTTTATCATGGGGTAAGATTTGGAGACAGTAGCCAACAAATGGATGGGAAATTGACGTGCAAATTTTGAAAAATTTTTGGGGTTTATCAAAGAGAACGCGGCAAGTTCAGTGCACAGACGCTCCATCCATTAGCCTTGACTGCAATGCGCCGTATAATACATCCGCGTGATAGAATATTGTGGAGAAAAAATGAAAACTCACCATCTTCTAGCAGACGCTTTAAACCTGCCGCCTCCCTCACAGAGCGTTCGTCCCAAACCGGAGAGCTCTGAATGCCATTGAAACACTCAATGAAATGCGAAGCCGGAAAGAAGTGAGGAGCTCAAAAGGAATGTGGAAAATCGAAAGCAAATGGACTAAAGGTCTCTAACTGATTCAAATAGCGAAACAAGCGACAAAAACGAAGGCGAGGAAACTATCAACTCTTCAAGCAACCAAGGAACGAGAAGGAATGCGTGAATATGTCAACACGTTGTTGTAAGAAACGTCGGCATTGTGTCATCATAATTTCGGGGCTAGCCCCGATGATTTAGTAAAAGAAACAGAAAACAAACGAGACTAACGCGGCGAGTGGAAGATAAAAGAGAGAATACGATATACAATGAGCAACCGGGGCAAAATCGGCGTCGCCCCGTCGACGTTCGGCGAAGGCTTTGCGAGCGAAAAATGAACCATGTCGGGAGAATATGGCTAGTGTAGACAGTCTGTGCAACCGATATTGAGGTATTTTTCGAATATTTTTTATTATACCGAAAAAACAACCGGGGCATTGCCCCGGAGGCCCTCATTGACGCGCCGCCACTGCCTCCTTTACATTCATGTCTTATGACAATGTAATCACTAGCTTGTCAAATTTCACATTGGCATTGCAATTGTTTGCCATTGAAAAATTTACGGTTACTATTGTATCTGAGTTCAATAGCCTATCTACGAGTATTTTATCTTGTATTATATTTCGACATTCAGTCAAAACAAAAATTTGTAATTCACTGATTTTCATCATCTTATGTTAGTTTGAAACTGGCATGACTAAATAATGCTGCATCTATTTGAATAAATTTTTTTTTTCAAGAATTGACCGTTCTATTTCAGGGGTGGGCAACCTTTTTCGACTCGCGTGCCAAAATTGGCTAAATTTAACGATAAAATCCTTCCGCGTGCCGACCGATATTAAAAACAATGCTTTGCTACTTTCAAAGCAAAAGTTCATAACTGAGAACAAAGAACGTCATAATATATTTATTTGTAGCCATGTGTCACCAAAGGACAAAAAGAGGAATAAATAACGGACATAAATAAATAACGGATTGCTAACAAACGATAATGAATACGAACACCTATTTTCATCAGATAATTCAGATTCTTGAAACTTTTTATCTGGAGGAAAATGATTTCGCGTGCCGCATAAAAGGTCTCGCGTGCCAAAATTGGTTGTCCACCACTGTCCTACTTAGATCATTTTCAAACTGCCATAGATTTAGCCATTTGAAGTAGTGGTCGGCAAACTTTATGTACTTGCGGGCCAAATTTACACATTTTCGGTAGCGCGCGGGCCGCAATATTTTCGTTTTTGAACAATCGCTACATTAAACATCATATTATGGCGCATTCGACATTCGTACCTACTATTGATGCGTTGAAAGCCTGCCACAATGAGATGTGTTCGTGGCGTTTTTTTAGTATATTGTCTAACAATACATTGTTTTTATTTAATTATTATAAATGTGAAGGATGATGTTTTTATGGCAACCTGCCTGCGGTACGTCGTCCAAATGACGATCTGACAAGCGAGTACGAAATTTATTCTAAGTGTAAAGCATTTTGAATAAAGCGAATCACAGCAATATATGCTTCAGAACGTGCACATTACATGTTTTGCACTATCGCACAAATGAGCAGTGGCGCAATCCCGCGTCTCGAGGTCGAATTTTCTGATGACACGTTTTGTAACCAGTTCAACATTGAATCCCCTAATTACTGCGATGCAATGCTGACTGGGCATATCGAGCAAACTGGTTTTGAAATGCACTTTGAAATGTTCGACCCTCGTCGCGTACTTACTTCCGTTTCCCAGGCATTTTTGAATTTTAAAAATCAAAATTAACTCGAACGACATACGACTGACGCTACTTGTTACGAAACAAGCGCCGTACAGCAGCACTTGTTACCACATAAATCCGTGCAGAGATGATAATAAATTTAGGGTCAATTTTTGTTTTATGTATCGTTCGGGGGCCGCAACAAATTAGCTCGCGGGCCGCATTTTGCCGAGTCCTAATTTAAAGGATAATTTCACCAACTCAATCATTTGGATGGAGTTGAGCTATTGATAATTTTGCTATTTTGTTGTTGATCGTCATGTCAGTATTCTTTTCTTCTTTGTTTAAAATATTAATGTTTCCATAGTGATCGATCAGAAATTTCCCTGTTTTCATATAATATTTTTTATTACTGGCCCAAATATGTCAGTAATACAACTAAGCTGCATCTAATCATTTGTTACGCTGGTGATACATTTTCACCACATTATTCGATCCCATTGTCCACTGATATACAGTACAGTATATATATTTTTTCTTTCCATGTATCGAATGTTTTTATATATTATTATTTACCATCATCTGAAGCCGATAGAATTTTACCGCGTGACTGAGTTCTCAACCAAAACTTCCCGGAGAGCCGACCAAATGGCGTATGTGGCGGTTCTGAACGTTTGCGAGAATTGACAAAACGGCGTGGTCGTGAAGTAAAGGGCTAGAAAGTATGATTGATCGTCGCCGGTAAGACTAACGACATAACGCCAATTCTGGAACTATTGATAACCAGGCTGCACTGGCATAAAACGGTTGTAACTACTGACTCAGCGAGTCAACGTCACTTTCTGTGAGGTCCGTATTCGGGCGCAAAAAAAAATTATATATTAGTGGGTTTGATTCTATTAGGGCTTTATAATTGTTTTATCAACCCCCCAAAATAAAGCAGCTCTTTGTTTTCTTTTGGGGCGACAAACTTCTGTTAAGTTAACCTAACCTGTACTGTTTGAAATACTGTACAACGAAATAAGATTATTCCTAAGAAAGTACATGTCTGCAATGAGCAGGTGAACGTCCAAAATATGTCAATGAACTCAATCTCAAGGTTTAAAATATGACATAACTTGCTATGGAGTATGATAATCGAAGTTCAAATAACTCAATAAATTTCATGAGAAGACAGGTATTTTTATGTATGTATCATGTGTAAATGTACATATTTATAGTGGCAGAACCAGTAACAGCATGTTGGACAACTTATTTGTAAATTTAAAACTCAAACCTAATTGGACACATATCCAGAAGTAATCAATAAAATTGCGATTTCAATTTAGTATTTCAATAATATGATCAATCATTTTTCCAATATATCTCTTATTGTGATCCAAGAACTGCACCACCTGAAAGTGTAACAGTACTTTCACTTTAACTATATTCTACTAAATTACAAAATATTGAAACCTACAATGCTATGTGTTATTATGAATTATGCGATTAATATGTAAAGCATTTGCTATTTAAATGCAATTGAGAATGGGTGCCTGATGAATATGTGTAACAATAACATTCATAGAGGGATTAGTTTGGTCAGCAAGGATATTGTATGCTGTTACAATGAACAATTAACTTACAACATCAATAAACAACAATTTAACAGCATATTATAATTATTTCATTCAAATTACAATGTTTGTTGAGTCATACTCTATCACTTGCTTGTCATCATTGTGACAAATTCTTCATAATTGACCTGACCGTCACCATCAATGTCAGCTTCCCGAATCATCTCATCAACTTCTTCATCGGTGAGCTTCTCCCCAAGGTTGGTCATCACATGCCGAAGTTCGGCAGCTGATATAAAGCCATTTCCATCTTTGTCGAAAACCCTGAACGCCTCTCTAATTTCTTCCTCGCTATCTGTGTCTTTCATTTTTCTTGCCATCATTGTGAGGAATTCTGGAAAATCGATAGTCCCATTACCATCTGCATCCACCTCATTTATCATGTCTTGCAATTCAGCTTCTGTAGGATTTTGTCCTAGTGATCTCATGACAGTTCCTAATTCTTTTGTTGTGATAGTGCCATCGCCATCTTTGTCAAATAATGAAAATGCTTCTTTAAACTCTGCAATTTGTTCTTCTGTCAGTTGGTCAGCCATTTTAATATTTCTAGATTGGTTCCTATTGCTACAAAGTTAATAAAGGGGGAAAACAGATTGACAGATGTCACAATATACAATTTCAGGTCAAGTTAATTCATAAAAGAGATGAGAGATCAGTATCAAAAACTTTTTAGTTGATTGAACACAAACTCTATTTTTTGGTTTTGCCTCCATTCTTAGTCTCAAAAGTTTGCCCTTTTTAATGAATAAATTTCTAGAATGAGTACTATCCTGCTATTGCCCCACCACTAATCGTAACCTTTTTTGTATGATTTTGTTCACGTTGAGTTAGAGTTACACCAAATAAAATTGGCAAAAAAAAGTATGAAGGTAGGATGCGGTAACATACTAACCTAACGAGACAGTCAAAAGGATAAATGTTCTACCTTTTTTATCAACAAGTTATGACATACCGATACCCTTGATAAAGTATTGGCCTACACACTGCTAGTATTAATACCAATTACCCCATCTTTAATAATGCACAAAGGTTTAGGCAGAACACTGGAGCAGACATGCTTTGCCATAATGTAAAGGTTCATTTGTTCTCAATAATAAAAGGGGATGAAAAACAATTACATAGCTTGGTCAGTTTGGTTTGAATGAGTCATAAATTTTAAAAACCTTATGTAATTTTGCATTACGCATACAGGCCTTATTAGTATTATTTGCTAAAACAGTGCAATCACAACAAGCAGAGGGAAACTCAGCTTTCTTTATGAAATGGTAAATGAACTACTGACATAACTAGTTGTAATTCAAATTCAGCTCATATCATTTTCTTATTTGTATCTTGTCAAATTTGCTTCCATCATTAGCAATATCAGAATATGGTTCCATTACATTTGAACCCACGTACATTTGAACCCATGGCAATTGCACCTGTATGCTATTACCTATGGAATTTTTTTTGTTTTTCGGATAGTTGAACCCACACTAACCCTAGGTCCCTAACCCATGGGTTTTAGCACCCGCATATAGATTGAACCCGTGGATATACACATGGGTTCAAATGTATGTGGGTTCAAATGTACGGTCACCTGTAATTCAAATTCAGCTCATATCATTTTCTTATTTGTATCTAGTCAAATTTGCTTCTATCATTAGCAATATCAGAATATAGCCCGGGCCTATATTTTTCAATCAAACTCACTAACCAGGCCCTTATTCAAACCGGCCCTTATTCAAGCACGGGCGCTTGTTATTTTTAAAGTAAAATTATACACAAAAATTACGGTATCTTTGAAGACAAATACTTGACGACATTAATCCTTTTTCCATGTCAATTTATTCACTTCAAATGCAAAATATTCACGTCTTAGGAGTAATTCCATCATATTACCCGTAGTTTATTAATTAATTAATGCTTTCTGTTATGTAATTGGACGCCTAAGGTGTGAGAGTTATCTACCAGCGCTTAAAATTCAACAGCCTTGTGACAAAAGCGCTCCTTATTTCCTATTGTTCTCTACCACTAAAAATCAGCTTTTACATCGGGCAGGTATTCAAGCACCGGCCCTTATTTATTTTTATGTTCTGTTCACACGGGCGGCAATTCAAACGGGCCCTTAATCAAGATCGGGTGGTAAAACGAGCATATACGGTACTTGTAGCAAAATGATTGGTTATGGATGTTAAATAAACATGGGCCTGTAGGGTAACCTCAATAACCTTTACCGGTACTGCATCAGTGTTTCAAATTGATCCTGTCAAATCGATCAATACTGCAATAACTGTAAAATTATTTTCAGTTTCAGCTTGAATTAATGCACTTTGACATTGCAGCATTGTGAGGATGAAATCTTATTTCTGTTATTTGTTTTCTTTCTCGATTGGGAAAGTGTCGTTTTAAAATTATTTTTAGGTTTTGTTCACTTCCAAGTTCTTCGCCTTTCTCTGTACCGGTACCTGTAGTCTAATAACCTGCGGCACACAATTATGCAATTAAAGGGAAGACATTTTGGTCATTTCCAAGCATTATTGTAAAAACGGTACCTGATTATCTAGAATATCTGTAGCATCGATGATGAAAATACCCGCAGCCCAAAATGAAGTGGCGCTATCCCTATTTCTACAGACAGACTTCCCACAACTCCAGCCTGAAAAACACATCCACAGCGGGTCAGCGGCAAATTCGCATCAAATGGAACGTTGAAAAAATGAAGCGTGAACCTAATTCCCATACGAAAAAATTCACATCCTAGTGGTCGATATCAAGTATTACAAACAAATCAATAAACACGGGCAAATACAAAAATAGCACAGTAACTATAAATATCACAGTAAAATACGGAAATTCCGAAATACGAAATTATCATAAAAACTTAGTTGGGAGATTAATTAAAGAAAAACACATGTTTAGATAAGATTAATTTTTTAAATAAGAAATTATATATCAACGTAGTTAAAATGTTTTACTAAATTTTGCTTTATTTCTCTGTCATACAGAAAATACACGTCGTGCAAACTACTACATGTTGAAGACTTACTACAGCTTGCGATTTGTGAATTGTTATTTTCTACTGGTCAACTCCCTGGCCTAGTTGCTTCGATCATATATTCGTAAATAATGATACCCGGAATAGAAGCAGTCAAGACAAATTTGTTGTTTCGTATGTGAAAAGATGTCAAAAAAGATAATAGGATAAATAGATTTTTTGGGGCTAACTTATGGAAACCGACGCCCAAATTTGGATCCTAACTTGAAAAACATTTAATGGAATTTTATTAGCTTTTGTGCGTTGAGGACATTCTACTCTTCAGACATCATTTTTCAGATAGAATGGAAGCTTTGATGAAGGGTGCAAAGAAGTTGAGACAGGACTAATAGAGATGAAAAATACCTCCGAGGGATTAACTATGTCACCGTGGATACAACAAACTTCCATTAATCGGGAAACAAGTTTCGAGCCACCCACCGATCGTTTGTCTCTCCTTCCAGCTTGTTTTTACTGTTTTTCCTTCGTCGCTTATGCAAAAGAAGTCATACAATAAAAATTTAAATTGATCATGCTGAGACGTGGTGACAATAAATTACAATAGCACCAAAGTGACTGACCCGCATTTCATGCCAGATCAGTGGTTTTTAACCTTTGCGAACCCTTACGTTATTCAGCAAGCTTACACTGAACTCCAACAATTTTACCAGTGAAAGTTAATTTGTGCAAGGCTATAAAAAAAACAACCATCTTCAATTATTTTAGATAAATTTGATGCGTTACTATTTAGCATAGGTTGAGTTTTTAGAGTTACATTTCAAGGACATACACTCTAACAGGGATATGAATCGTCAATCCTCTGGATGCGCCACTTGTTTTATCAATGTCAGGCAACCCACCGTCCGCGAGTCCGATACGGCCGTCAGCCGAAATCATTCGGTCTGGGACGTATCAATTAGCTTTCACAAGAATAGGGCCAGTCGCTTTTTATACAGTTTTAAACCGCAGGCGAATATTCAAAATATGGTTGTAAACATTGGCTCGTTTTTGTGGTTTTGCGTGTTATTTGTCAGATTTCAGTTAGGTTTTCAAAAATAGGTTGTAAATGAAGTAATTTAATTTTCATTATGTCTTCGGATGAACTCTGAGATTGGAGCATTTGGTTGTATTGGACAAGCACTAATTTAATGTGCACCTAATATTGTCTTAATTAATGAGCAAGTGCGAGGCATGGTCAAGATAAACGTGTCACTGCAGTAGGCTACGGCGCATTTCTCCGATCCAAAGGTATCGATATATGGAACTAACACAATGTTTTGTCCATGAAACGAGAGCGCGTGGGAGTACGGCATCGAATATAGGTTAGATTTCAACCCAAAAGAGTTGCAGTGGAGTATTTAGTTTTTGAGTGGAACCCACTTTATCTCGGCAGTGTAGTTTACATGCCCTTGTCAATCAAAATAGGAGAATATTTAAAATTAACAAAATCAATGGAGAACACATCAACATTTCTGGAATCAAGCAAACAATCAATCTTCAGTCTCAGGCGGTAGGCTATGTCTATTAACAGAATTTTGACACATAAATAGGTATCTGAACCAGGACCTCCTACAATCAGACATGACTCACTCAACTCTTCAAGTTTAACGCTCGAGTTTACCCCGTGTTTTATTTAATTTTTCAAGCGCAACGCCCGAATTCAACAATTCGCATATATATATACCTTTCTTTCTTAGGAATCAACGCCCAAATTTTTTGAATTTGTGTCTTATTATCAACTTATTGGACACATAGTGGACATAACGATCGTTTCGAAATTATGTTGTTGTTGTTGTCCTTTGACACGTTTTGAGGAAATCGTTTTTTTTTCTTCGATTACTAGGCCAATTGCTTTGAAATTTTCAGTGAATAAAGATTATATTTTTTGCTAGAGGGCTATTATTTTTATTTTTGTTATGACGTCATCAAATTTTTTGTGGTGATACGTGTCCATATATTTGAGCATAGCTCTCTCGTATATTAGAACTAAATGTTTTGTGTGTCAAACGGATCATAAAATACGCACCTGAGTAGATCAATCCGCCTCAAATTCAAAATTACCAGGACAACTTCATATTATTACTGGATTTTGGAATGTGTTTTGGCATCGATAAAACCAGCAACGCAGAAAACAGCATTGATCTTTGGTGTGACAAACATGTTCATTGAGCTCAATACATAAGGCTTAGAGTCAGCCAACCCTCCAACAAGTAGCTTATTTATATGTATATACATTAACTGTGAATATTAATGGTGAATTTGGGGGAACATGACCTTATGGCCGTATTGTTCCCCCCAGTCTATACCGAATTAACTTTTTTGCATATATTTTATTGTACCATTGCTTGTTTTCTGGTTGACGAAACATTAAATCTTTCTCTCTCAGTGTTACCATTGTTTGTGGTATAGAGCAGGGTTTCCCAAACTGGAGTCTGCGGACCTCAGGGGTCCGTGATGACTGCACAGGGCGTCCGCAGTTATATGAAAAGAGTCTGATCGATCTTCAGTGATTGATTTCAATCAAAAAGCCATCGCATCTTTGTGGTTGAGCGTTGCAAACGAATATC